GGGACAGTGCCCAGTCCAATACTGAGAGAATATTGACTGGCAATAGAGCATTTTGATCGGTTGATTTTAGTTATTGGCCCTCTGACTGCCCAAGTCGTGTAATAAATATGCATTACTAACCAAGCATGAGGTCAAGATGGCTGAATATTAGCTGAGTTCTTTTTTGGCATTTTTATGGATTGAGACAAAGTTAAGGTCCACAAAAATGCCAAAAGAAAAAACATAGCTGATATCCAGCCTTCTTGACCAAACTGAACAAGCTTGGTTAATAGACAATTTATTATATTACAAAAAGATTACGCTCTTTTAATAATTAAGAATGACTGCTTTACTTCAAGAGTCAGGAAAGAAAGCCAAACATGTTTCTAGCACAACAGACTCACACGAGTCATTTCTGTTTTCTTTGTGGTCGTGACTATCTTCTGCCACTTTTTGTGTTTCCATCACTGACATTGTCCCAGAATTACGAACATAGCACTAATTTAATTTTATACGTAGGATCAATGCAGGCAATCCTGGGCAGACAAAATGGGCCCATCTTGCCTGCTTGGGTAGCCACTCAGAACACAGAATTTGCGTCATCTTATCCACTGGCACTGTGAGTAATATAATAACAGATATTAATTCTTGCTGTGGTGCTCACAAATCTGGCCACATTTCAAACAAAACTAGGGTGGTTTAATCCTTCCTTTACCAAGAATTTTTCTCATTCTGTTTCCAGGTGAATTGGTTTAACCACAGAATTTTCATTTTAGCTTTATGCAAATTAATTTAATTTGCATAATTTGTTGTTTGTGAAAAAAGGAATTGGAATTGCCTAATCTCAGTTTATATCTCTACCTGATGTGCTGTAGTCTCCTTCATGGCTGTTGTTTTAGTCTTGTCATGCAATATACTACTTTACCGCATATTGCACATTGCATGTGCCTTGAATGATGAGACCAAACATTGCCTGCAAAGGAGGCTAAATGTGCCGCTCATGTATTAACATATTGGATTAGATTGAAATATATATCATATTATTATATTTAAATTTCTTTGTACAGATGCCTTGAGATTATGTCTTTACAGTGGCCTTGTATTGCAGACACATCCCATGTGTTTACATAGTAACCCAAGAGAACAAATGGAGTCAGAGAGACAGCTACTGTGGCCGACCAAAAAAAGACATTTGCTTCACTAAAACTGCAAAGTATAAACAAAACATTCACAATTTTAGTAAGGTCTTGTGACCCAAAGAAATCAGAACAGCCACTCAGAACAAAGGAAAACATTAAAAGGAATCAAAGAGGATTTTCCTATAATTATTACCTTCCGAGTTTTCTTAGCCAGCAGAGCCCTAACCAGGCTGTGATAATCAAAAGGCCTCCAATTTCCCTGCATAAAAGAATCAGGCAAGGTTTAGGAAAGTAAATCTGGCTTGAACTTTGAGCTAGGAATTTCTCTCATGTAATCACCATACAAAACTTTGAAGGCTTGTAATAAGAATTTAGAGCTCTATCCCAAACTGCTGCTAATCATCATAGTCATATACAGATTTCCTAATTCTCATGTCCAAGTTGTAAATAACATTATAAAATGTGAGGAGAATTTACATCTTGAACACTCCTGGAAGTGAGAGGGCTTAAAATCATATTTATATACTTGGAAGGTTAAACAATGTATAACTGCTTGGACAAATTAAATTTTCTAAGTCAGTTACAATGATCACTTGCTCCTTTTTTATTTGAATCACTTGTAAGATTAATAAATAAACTTCATCTTCACTTTATTTTCCAATTGCAAACAAAATATATCTCACCTTCCTTCTTCATATTCCAACGGATTTTTAGAGCTGATCTCAGTTGTAAATAGGACACTTAGTGAGTAAAAAATACCCAGAATGCTGACACCGACATGAATGACCGCTGTATACCTCCATACATAATGATCTTCAAAATAAAGAGATAAAAATATTGTTGCAATTTGTAAGTATAGTAAAACTAAAACAGAATAAATATGAAAATATGATTATATCTACAGTCATGGTAGATTTTTAGTCATTATTTATTTATGATTAACTCTAATTTACACCCTCACATCAGTATGCATATTCTCCATACTGTTTTCTATACATTTTGTAAGGTGCTGACAAGGAGAATTTGTTTAACAATCAAGAGCTTCTTTGGTTGGTGATGATTTCCTTTATTCTTGTAAGCTGATTGTGTGATTTGGGTCTGATAATGTAAGGAGAAATAAGATGTTAGTTACACTTGGAGGTCAAGGGGTGAAACTGCTATCAAAACAACAATAATAGTACATCTGAAACTTTAAAAAAGGTTCCTTTTCTTAAAGTGGTTTCTTTGTTGCTTTTAATTAAGACCTGGGTCTACTGCAATGAACATTAATTAAAAACAGCATTTTCATCATCAGATAATTTTTACCTTGTAATGATGAATCAATCACTAAAGCAATACACAGGAAACATGGAATGGCATAGATGAACTGAAAAAAAAAGTGTGAGAAGAATTGTTTGTTCGTATAAAAACAGGTTGTTATTATTGTTAACTCTGAAATTTTCACTTCACTCAAGTTTTGAACTCAGTCTCTTCCTTGGTTGACTTCACACAGTCCTCAAGCTTCAATCATATTTCTTTGAAATGCATATTTCACAGCTTTGAGACTATTTCATCAGTTATTCATTTATTTACCCAATTGTGTATTGGTGAACCCTAATTTACATCCTAACAACAGGAAGCATTTTCTCCATGCTGTTCTCTTTACATCTCCTAACGTCCTGGCTGCAGTTCTTCAAAGAGCGGATAACACTATGCAGCTGATAAATCCCTATCCAGAGGATAAGTGTTACCAAAACGGACTGCGCTATCCAACGGACAGAGATTTATCCAGTGTATAGTGTTATCCATCCTTCGAACAACCGGGGCCTGGTGAGGTAAATTTGTATGCAAATGAGCTCCTTTAGTTGGTGATCATTTCCTTTATTCTCATGACTTTAGTGTGCGATTACAGGGAGATATTGTAGGGAGATATTAGATGCTAGTCTCCGGCTCTTAAGCATCAAAGGGTTATTAAACATGTACAACCTTAGTTATCCAGTGAACAAAACATAAGTCATCCTGATCATTGCAGCAGACCTTTCTTTCCTCTTGAGGCCATGATCTTTTCTTTTGTCTCATGTAATTACCTACTGCATGTAATTACCATCTCATAACCAAAAATCTGAAATCACTGAAAAGAAGCCTGACCTACCATCCATATTACAGGATCAGGGTCATTGAGCTGTTGTGGACAAAGAAAGATAAAAGAAATTCAAAGATCAATAATCAATCTCATGCATTCACCAAACATACTTTTGCAATAAATTCTCGTCAACTTTTAGCACTAGAATGTGAATAATTCACTCCTGGCCTATTACTTTTTTCATAGGTTGTAGAGTGCATGCTGCTAAATTAATTTTCTTTTAGGGAATCAATTGCTAAAAATGTTCTTATTCCCATGAAATCCTCTGAGTCTTGAGAAATACTGCGAAAAAAAAAAAATTCCTACAAGACCGAGCCAATTCTTATGATATGAATAAAACATACTGCAAACAAAAAAAATCCCAAAAGACGGAGCCAATTCTTAGGAGGTGAATAAAACATTTCTATCTGCAGGATGGGGATTCCCTTGTGTCTTACACTTTCATGATTCTGTTCCCAGCCCTGAACCTCTTAATCTAGCCGAGTTTTGATATCGGAAATATAATTTGAAGACACTAACGATAGAGCTAACTTTACATAAACAAACTGTATTTTCTATTCAAGGTACTATTTTACTTTTGAAATGAATTGGTTCTTAACCGTAATATATTCTAATGATCGACATCACCGAGCCGCCTGAAAGGCTCAAAACCATCAGAGAACATTACATAGCTCTTAATTATATCAAACACAGCAATTTTTTTAACAGTCACGTATTTTTTACTTACCTCTATGTACGTGTCAAGTGAATGAAATCAACACGTAGTCACGGTTCGTATTTGTTGCTTAGTAATCCAGCTTATATTAAAAAAATCCTCTTTATCAGCGGGGCCATTTGTCGTATAATAAAGATAAATAAATGATGATATCGCTACAGATTTACCTTGCCTGGTTCTGAGAATATCAAAAATAAACTCAAAATGTGGTACACTGACCTGAACATATGTGGCGAAGGCAAAGAACAAGGCCATGAAACCATTAGCAAGTCGCCACGTCCACGGATTGCAAACCTTGCCGATTAATGTTTCTTGTTTATCTTCAATAGTTACACTAGAACTCTGCTCATTCATTTTTTTCTCGAGATCACTGGCTTCAATAGAGAATTGAAACTCTTGGTGTAGGGTGTTACGCTAAAAAGATCACCAAAGCGAATAAATGAGGAAGGATGTGATCTATGTAGAAGGAAGTTCGAATCAAAAAATTATTTAATTGAGATGATTATTCCACAAGCACTACACACGCCTTAATCAGTCATACATTCAATCAAAGACAAAATTACCAAACTTATTTAAAACAAAAAAGTGAATTGAAGTGAATCTTACCCTTTATGTTTTCAAACAAAAGTAATTTAGTGTAATCCTTTGAAAAGAATCTTCCTCATTCCGTTTCCAGGCGATGGTTTAAGCGATCTGCCCCCGCAGGATTTTTATCTTAACTTTATGCAAATTTGAATAATTTATATGAGAATTGGAGGCAGAAGAGCAAGGGCTATGAAGACCTCAGAATGACAAGGATGAATGAGGGGTTCAGGGCAACAGGAACTTCGATTTCATCCTGCAGTCGGCCAGAACATCGATTTACGTTTCAACATAGATGAGATAGTAGGCATCGTCTGATTGGTCAATTCAGCTACCAAGCGGATGCTTTATCAGCCCGCATTTGGTCGATGACAACAAGTGATGTCCTAAAATCAATTTGACACATTTTTCCTGTCTCTCTCGCAGCCGTTTTTTTGGATGTCACGCAACGCTCCCCTATAACGTGATAAAGCAATCTGGGATGTTGGGAGAACGCGAGGAAAGCTTCTAAATCACGAACCGAAGACTTATGGAATTCGGAAAAATGTGTTCTGTTACTTTATTAAGTCCCGATCAAAAAGTCAAGTCGGCCATTTCTATTTTACTACCACGATCTAACGATTTATTCTCCTATCTAACTGTTTGACCCCAAAAAGGGTCACAAGGAGTTGGAAGAATTTGATGTTACATCAATATTTCACCTCTGAGCTCCTTTATTTGCCTGCCTTTGTTATTGTTGCAAGACGTAAACAGATCCGGGTAATGCGTATTTCAGAGGTGACGGAAAATGTTTTCGTCATAGTAACTTCACGAGCAACAGTTGTTACCATTCGTAGAGAATAGCTTCAACAATGAGGAATAATATTGTACCTCAACATAGTTAGTAGACAGCTGACGCTAAAATTGAGAGAAAAGTAAAGAGTTTGTTTTTTACCCTCGCTATTAAGACCACCGGTACATCTAAATTTGGCAAGGTTTCAACATAATCAATCATGATTTTTGATCTGTCAACAACCAGCACCAAAAACGTGCAGTTTGACAGCTGCTTCATTAGAGGAAACATAAAACCAAAGTAGTATATTTCTTTGCCGAAATACATCGCATGGTGAAAAGTGTAATGTAGACACAGACACCCACAACACCAAGTTTTATAATAAGCATTTGAAATTGATATTTTTCCCTTTGCACTGAGAGCCTTTCAATGATGACTGCTGCGTTGTAATTGAACACCAAAAGTGTTTTTTCCGGCGTACCGAAAATCTGGGAAGGTGTCAAAACGGATGACTGATAACTCATTTACATGCACCTTTTTCCGCATTGCAAGCGAGTTGTAAAGATTGTCCACTTCGCCCAAACCCGGCCAAGAAAACTAAACCAAAATGGCAAATTCAGATTTTAATCGATTGTCCAGCGCGGTAAGCAAACTGTTCGGTAATTATAAAGAATTAAGACAATCTCTAGATGTACTTTGGGAGATGGTTGTGAACAAACGAAAAGTAGACATAGCTATAGATCAGGCGTCAAAGATAAACGTGCTAAGGACCACGACAGGTGACAACCTGCAGAGCTATTTGGAATTTTTGGAGAAAATGACCACCAAGGAGTCGAGGACGAATTTTGAGGAGTTAGAATTTCAAGCCAATTTGGCGAAAGATACAATGGAGGGGCTAGCAAAGGAACTGAATGTGGACAAGTTGCCGAAAGATCCCGAAGGCGAGGCAGATGACCTTCGAAATGACGATGAGAATCAACACTTCGCTAGAACGGTCAAAAATGGCCAGCAACGAATGGAAGGAGCAGACGATTTGGTAAAAGTCATCGCAGAGAAGTTACTCGGACGTATTAAGAAGGAACTTAAAGAAGCTTTTAAAGATGAGGACCTCTTTACTGACGATAAGACTTTAGCTGGTAAGATAGAGGAAGTCAGAGCGAAAATAGAAGCGTTTTTTTTAACCCGTGAGAAAAATATTGCAATTCTCGAGGGAATTATCAGTAAAAAGAGTCTGCCCACCGAAGAAGACGCCGAAACTCTCGAGGAGACGTGTAAAAGGAACAAAGAAGAGTAAAGGAAGTGAACTTTGATTGACTGTCACTCCTGCGTGAGACAAATTGTAACTGGCAGTTAACTGAATCGAAGAGTTCTCAGTTACTGCAACTCAAGACTCTCAAACTGCTGAGGCCGTAAGGAAAAGATGTGACAATTAATTAGCGGAAAGTTCCACAGTTATGCTCGAAATACATTTGTCAGTAAAAACAAAATAGGTATGCAAGGATAATTAAGTTTTAAAGTATACTTAAAAACTTCACCTTTAACACAAATCCATAATTATATTATAGCAATAGAGAGTGTTGATACAACGCAGGGCTACGTAGTTGGCGAGTGTGTAGAGTTCATTTTAAATACAGAACTCGAGTTAAGTGTTCTTTGCGTGTTGTTTGCAAATTACTTATTAATCTACTCATGTGTGGCATTCATAGATATCAGTTTGCGTTACGTAACTTAACCGTTTATGGATATATATTCACTAGATCACTTAATTAGTTATACGTTTGTTCAACGATTAAAGGTTTGTTCGCGTCTTTTTAAAACGTCATTCTTCTTAAGGAACGATTATTGCAGGGGGGGGTGGGGAAATGATTGAAAGAATTTGGTCGTCATAAAATTTACCTGATCCCCCCAAGGCTCTGTAATAGGCTTATGATCCGGCTTCCCGCTCCCTCCTCTGTCTTCAATCCAAGATAGCGCCTAAACATTTTAAATTGACGGTTTGAAATAATCCGTTATGAAGACTGACGATTTAATTTTGGGCCATTTGATGGTTGGCAGTTTATTTTTAAGGAAACGTGAAGTCAGTTTTTCGAGAAAAATAACTCTGAAACGTTTTAACTACAAGTTTTCTTGAGAGGATGATACAATTACGCGAATGAGACAGCGGAACAGTTTAATAATCCATTTACCACAAAGTTCAAACATGTCTTAAGTTCTTTTGTTTGAAACACGATTTAAATTTGTTGTATTCATAGAAGCTTCTTAAACCGATGTTTTGCCGACTTCAAATTTAGCACAATGAAATAATAGTTAGTGACTATTTGAATCCTAGGGAAAATTCTATTCTCTGTTTCTGTTTTACATTAAGTTAAACACCGTTTCAAAAACATGTTTGGTGATGTGAACGGGGTATAAGTTCGTAGATCTCTTCATAGGTAAAATAGTTCCAATTCACGCCAAATACTTAAATAGTTCACACGATAAGAGAAGGAGAAAAAACTTCCTATGATATCACAGATTGCAAAAAGGAATATACAGGGATGGATGGATGCTAGGTATCAGTGTACTTTTTGGATTTTCTTTTCTTTTCTTTTCCCCTAAACGGTATCTTTTCTCAGCTGATCGTCTTGGTGTTACTGAACTGCTTGAATGTTCCTCGTAACCTAAAAGGTGAACGGTGAAAAGCTCGTCACAATATGAGTTGCAGCAGCAGCTTAAACGGGAAACAACGGATCGTGACCGTTAGGTAATGAAACGCTACGATACGAGCGGTGAAGCCTCAGTGATCTAATTGAGAGGGTAACGTGAACCCGCGAGGACACGCGCGAGAGGTCCTTAAAGGTTTTAACCTGAGACCAGGGGCCCGTTTCTCGAAAGTCCCGGTAACTTAACGGTCCCGTAAAGCTGTTCTGTTTTCATTCAAGATGTGGATTTAAAACGTTTTGAAAATGATACAACAAAACTATTAGCTAAAGAAACAAAAAGGACTGGTTTGGGTTCCCGAACTTGCTTTCTTATCCTTCAAAATTTTGATTTTAAAATATGGCTTCGGGTCCGTTATTTTACCGGGACTTTCGAGAAACGGGCCCCAGGCCCCTCGCGGACCTTTTGCACGCTCGCTAGCCCGAAATTCGAAGGCTTAACCGCGCGTGCCGCAGCGCTTCCTCGCAGCCTTGCCTTTTGGGTGAATACCATTTTTCTCTTTGCAGGGGTCTAAGACATCGTCACTTTAACAGTTCGATCTCGCCTCTACATGATCAACTTGATCAACATTTTCCATTTATCACGGTATTTTACAAGACTATTAAAGAACGTAGTTGTTGCCTTCTTTTCTTAGTTCTGATTGTTCTGTGACGAATGTCACTTTGGACATAGAACATGCAGTGTTCGGAAGCGAAACGGGAAATCCAAACAAACACTTTAATTCCAACACGGTAAACTGTAGACTCCCGGTAAACGACAACGACCATTAAACAAAACTGCTACTCGATAAACTAAAAACTTTTCAACTCCCTCTAAAAAATCGCACAAGTCAAAATTTAAAGGTCCGCGCGATTTGCTTACGATATTATTAAGGTGGCTCGTACCGGTTTTCATCTTTTTGATGGTTTGTAACTTTGAAAGAATACAACAGAAAGACTGACCAAGGCCAGTTGAACACTTTTACGGGGTTGAATTATATAATCATTAGTTATCCAAAAATTGGCGTCATTTCGTCACTAGCAGTTTCCATGGCAACGCTTTCATAGGCTATTTCAGATGCATTTTTTTGCTTGTGGCTTAAATAATTCAAAAACTAACCCGGTGACCCCGTGATTTTTTTCAGTAATTGCTTTTGGCACTTGAAAAGGAAACTGCACAAAGATTTTTAAAAAATTCTACGGAGCGGAATTTCAGAAAATCTAGAAAAAAGGCAATTTTCAGACATCGCAAATTTCCTTCCGTAGAATTTTCTAGTTTTTTTCTGATGATTCCTTTCGACATTATTATCATATTGGAACAATAAAAAAGAAGGGGTCACCGGACTTGTTTTCATGCAATAGCTTTCGTGAGTTTAGCAACTTCCACGCGCGTTCTCGCGCATATAAAGTTCTGGATTCTATAAGATCGACATTTGCTCATGATCTGTTTTAGCTACCGCTGACAATTGCGTGTGCTCGCGCTAGCGCCTACGATCTGATGTTTACAGAAGTTTACTGCTGAGAAAATCATTAAACAGCTGTCAAAGACAGCCTCCCGGGCTCATCTTAAAAATCCTACACACGACTTCTATCTATATCATATTATTTGCCTTTAAGTTTCAGTCTTCTTCCACTTCAGGTAGATTACCCTTCACTTAAGTTCTTCTTTTTTCACCGTCGCAAGATTTCATATCGGTTGAATATTTCTTTTAAATGTGAAGTGAAGCAACCTTTACTTCTCCGAAAATTGTCTTCTCTATCTTAGTTTCTATCTCCTGCATTTAAAGTGGCCACTCAACACATCAAATACAAGCTCTTAGGTAAACTTCTCACGTAAGTAGAAAAAATTCCTCGTGCCGCCATCTTTGTTTTAAATTTTCGTCTTTTAATCTCGCGCTTCTTTCGCAGGTTTCTCCCGCGCGTGACGTAAGAGTTATCTGTTCCCCGCGCCGGGAAACTAGTACGAGCCACCTTAACCTACGTAATGCCAAAGCACGCGCACGAGAGTCGCGTGCGCACAAGTTTGTTGTAAATGGATTATTAAACTGAAATTCCGCTCCGTGGAATTTTTTAAAAATCTTTGTGCAATTTCCTTTTCAAGTGCCGAAAGCAATCATTAAGAAAAATCACGGAGTCACCGGATTAGTTTTCAAATTATTTGAAAGCTAAAAAATGCGTCTGAATAATCCTTTGAAAGCGTTGCCATGGAAACTGCTAGTGACGAAATGACACCTATTTTTGGATAGCCAATGATTATATTATTTAACCCTGTAAGAGTGTTCAACTGGCCTTGGTCAGTCTTTTTGTTGTATTCTTTCAAAGTTACAAACCATCAAAAAGATGAAAACTGGTACCAGCCACCTTGACATGCAGATTGGCTTAACCACGAAGGTGGATGGGTGGGGTGGGGTGAGGGGGGGGTAGCGAGCTTACAGCAAGAGTTTATTGATAATATACCTCTTCAAACTTGTGAATCTGTCGAATGAAGAAATCTCCATACCGCCGTTCAACTTTCGTATCGGCGATGTGAATCATATCCTTAATGAAGGAAAAAAGTAATTATTAGAGAACTGTCATTATTTTTGAGAGGAGGAAACCGGTTTGTTAGAGAGAAAAATTGGAGATGATCTTAAAACTTTTCTTTTCAACAAGTATGCGCAGTTTTTATTAAATCATGCAAATTCCCAGTCCCAGATTACTTTAATAATTGGTCTAAAAAAAACTTGTGCAACCGTCTCAACTAATTCGATTCAAAAGCAAACCCAATTACGACTTAGTTCCCCCGCGTTTTCCCGCGCGTAAAAGAGATTGGCCTGTTTTTAATTTGAGCTCTCATTGGCTGCGTGAGATATTCCTCACTGGTTACTATGGATATTTTCAACGACACAGAATCAATTCAATGTTTGGGGGTTGGTTGGTCTCCCGACAGGGATGGTTTATTTCACCTGGTCAATGTAAAAGTCCACTTCAGAGGAAGACTGGAGCTCTCCCTCAAGAGCATCTGTTCCTTTCGTCCACACAAGATTCCTCTGTTTGTGCTGCGAAAGGAGGCGACCAGAGTTAAAATGACGAGTCAGGATAGTTTTTCATAAAATTTGCGATCTCTACTATATCATGCAAACCAAAGGGGGCAATTTTCTAGAGAAACTCTGGTGTTTCGTGGGTGGGAGTAACTCGGTAATTTTGGTTTTATCAACTGAGCTGATAATGTAAATTGGTTAATGTTTGAAAGCTGATTCACAGCGAATGGCGAAGGGCTAACAATCGAAACGTCAGCTTTGAAAATCTCTACGGTGGCCAATTTATACCATCAACTCAGTTGATATACCATGCTACCACTGTGCAAATTTTGGTTAAAAGCTCACCTTGAAGCAGAGCAGTTGAGTCCTAAACTGACTCTTATCCTACCGAGAGAACAAACAATAACCTAAGTGTCAAGATGAAAACTCATTCTGCGGTTTTCTATTCTCTTTAATAAAAAAAAGAAAAAAAACTCAGAAAAATAATAATAATAAAACAATTCTAACTACCATGAATGATTTACGAGTGAAATGTGAAGGTAAGTCTGAGACTTAATAAATCAAAATAATTTCTTTTTACTGACCATGTCCAAAAATGCTGCCAGCTTTGCAATGGGCATTGTGGTGTACAACTTCAAATAGCTGAAAAACAAAAGGCAAGCAAGTTTCCAATATAGAAATGGGATCCTAGAGTTGTACTTAAGCTACAAAACTTTCCAAAGAATATCGAAAGTGAATTGAATCTGCGCTCGTTTTGCTTTCATTTGCACTGCGATTGGTCTCAAAATCTCACGCCATTCTCCCAGCCAATCAGATACAAATCTAAAACAGTCGCAATTCTGTTAGGCACGTTTTCCCGCCATTGACACTGGTTACGGTGGTGCCTAGTTTTTATTGGCTCTTAGTTTCCGTTGGTGATATATACCTTGTCTTGATTGGCCATGATTCTTTTGAGTTTCGTTTTACAACGCTAAATCCAAAAGCGGTCTAAAGTATATCATATTGTTAATTAGGTGATGTACGTTCGATTGTTGAAGGCAAGTCAAGTGATTTACATGCCAGTTCTCAATCAAAACTGACAAAATTTTTATGTTTAAACCTTTACCTTCTAATAACTGGTATTAAGGATTGTTGCGACACTTCATTCATGAAAACTTTCAGCTGAAGATTAAACGGTTCCTGAAAAGGAAAAAAACAAAGGTACAATTGAAACAAAGGTAAAATCGGAAAGAAATGGCTAGAATTTATACACTTGTTACAAAGAATTCAAGAGCTAACATTTCGAAGTTCCAGGCGACCCAGTTTCTCCAAACTAGTTCAAAATTAAAAATTAATGGAAGTACATCAAACGTGTCTCTGTAAAATGATTGAAAGTGTTTAGAAATCACAACAACTGATTAGAGTAAAGAAACTGTCAAAAGTATGCAATCAAGACTCTCAAATCAAGCAAACTGCTCCTTGCGCAGGAACTCTTGAGAGACCAAGACGCGATTAGTTTTATTTTGGAACCTCATTAGTTGAAAAAAATGGCACAAATTATCTGGACCAATCACACAGCGAGGTATAGCAAAACCAATTGAAGATTGCCCAAAAATCCTCACCCTGTTAAAATTGGCTGGAGGAGCGTCAAAGTTTGGAGGGACTGGGGAGATAAATTTGGGACATGCATATGAAAACGACTCCTCAAATGTCTGCAAATCTCTGTGGGAAGAAAACAGACGAAATCAATTTCATTGAAGAAATTAATAGGTCATTGTCGATATATCAAAATTCAAACTTGGCTCCGAGGCTTGGGGTAATAAAACAAAACAAATCACAGAGAAGTTCAGGATGAGTTGAGGCTCGCAAAAGCTCAAACTCTTGGAAAGGTAAAAGACAACTTGAAGCTTATTCCAATTTGTGAAAGTAGAATTTGTTTAAAGTGGCACAAACTCGAAAAATAAACAAACAAAAACACATTCAACATACCCACGCTGAAGTCGTTGCAACCTGTCTGCATTTTTCTCCCTCAGTTGTGAGTGAACATTTTCATCAATTCGCTGCAACAAAACAAATTTCATTAAATCTCATAACGTTTTTTTTTTTTTTTTTTTTAAGTTTGACAGGAGAAAGTAAAAAAAAAAAAACAACAACCACCACAAAAGAAGGTTGACAAGGGATTGATCATAATTTATCATGGGGAAGGGGGGGAAGAGAGGTTGGAGGACACCAGTTGGGTCATGATACAATTCACCTGCTCCCTCCCCATAAGGCTCAGTATGATATTTGTTTGTATGATCCCCTTTCATTAGCATTAGTTGGATCCCTATGAAAACCATGCGATCACCCCAAAATCTTATCTCCTGACTCCCCAACCCCCCCCCCCAGCAACAAATAATGACTGATCCCTAAAAAGGAGAACAACATAAGTACACACCTGAGGACATAATGTCAGACAGATGGCCAGCAGTACATACATCTGATCATTCTTTTTCATTATCTATGGGTTAGAAAACGTTGGTAATACTCATCAATATTAATATCACAAACTCTGCCATCTATGTATTGTGGAGTAGATTGCTACTAAAAGTGAGCAACCTTACAACCAAAACAAATACAAAAACCTGAGCCTGTCTTATTGTGAAGTTTTGAATGACTGGTAGACTTATTCTAAAACAATACCATTATTTTCTCTTGACTTCTGTGCGATACTTGTTGAGAGCAAAACATCTTGAGCTCAATCTCATGTTTGATTAGTAAACAACAATGCATTCTATTATCTGATGTGTGACAGAAAGAGACCAGTGTCTGTTGTAACCTTCTTTAAAAAGAATAGACTCCATCTAAGCAGATGATACCTTGAAGAACTTCTTACCTGTTCATACTGATAGGATTTAGTTTGGAACATATTTTTGGTCCTCTGAATGTACAGCAGAATATTAGAGAAACTACGAATAGCATCCTAGAATAGAACCAGAACATTATCTTAAATTCTGCTTAAATAGAGATATCCTAACCCCACCCCACCTCTACAGAAGGCAGGATTCCTCCAGATTGTTCTTAATTTTTTTCAAGCCAAATTCATAACTTGAAAACTTTAAATGAGGATAAACTATGCAATCTAATAATCCAAAACAAGGAGGAAAAGAGACTCTCTCAGCTACACAAAAGGAAAGATAACAACTACAAAGTAAATTAGAATTGCTGGTACACTGTAACCAGACAATGTTGATTTCTAAGCCCCAATTTAAATGATCATGTCCAAGTGATCAATTAGCAATGAAACTCGTGCAGTCATCGAACTAATTTTGGTTGGGCTGGATGCAAAAACATCTGCCTCTCAGTGTCCCTTGACCTCAAGCCCAATATTTTCCTGTCCAGCTATTCCATGCAGTAAATTAATCATATATTCACTCCTGCCTCACCCTGCCAGACATTCCTCACCTGGTATCTCTTCATCATGAGGTATGCAAACCCAACATAGTAGTAAGTGGTGATCTGGCAAGCTGGAACTCTTGAGTACAAACTCTGTAGGAAGAAAACATGCATGTCACTGATGTATAGTGTATTGGTAAAGTATGAGTCTCAGAGGTCTCAAGAAAAACTTGTACTCCACACAGTGAGCACTTTCAAAGAATGAGGTTTAAATGTAAATTCTCGTTATAATGTAAAGACATCATCCAACAAACTGGTGACAAGAATTGGCAAATATATCAGCTAGTGAATGTTACCTATTCCCTGTACAACAAGTAGGTTATATGGAAATACAGTGCAGAAATTCTTGAGCAAGGAAAGACAAAAACAGAAAAATATAAAAAAAACAAAAAGACTTTCTGCAATTGAACAAATTGAAATTTTCACTTCAGAGTTGTTTAATGAAAGATTGGTTTGGTTGGGCTTCACTACGCCCTGTGATTGATGTACAAAACTAGCAACAACCTCTAAAACATAACAATGCAAAACTGAAAACAACTGTAACTAAATCATTTTTATTTTCCTCCACCTAACATCAGTTACAGAATTTACTTTGAGTTCCTGATATCTCCTTATGATGTCAAATCTTTGTTACAATTGGCCATTGCGATTATTTTCACAGCATTTCGTTTCACAACACCCAATCAAAGTGCTAGATTAGATACCAATATTTTTATTCTTTAGTTTACCTTCTTGTTTAGCTCGACATTCTCCAGAACTTTGATGGCCTGGAAATAATCACCAAGCAGCGAGTGCAGTCGTAACAAACCAATCAAACTGAAGTAACCCAGCATCTTGTACAGGGGATGAATTCCAAACTCACCAGCCACTGAGTCTGGGTCACCGCCTTGATTGTACTTTTCAAGCTGTGGGGAAAAAAAAAATTCAGATCAACATAAGATAAATCTTCCTGCCTAATTTCTCCATACAGTCATTTGTTAATAGAGTGGGCAGCAATACTCCTTGTGGCTTCATGCTGAGGAAACTGGGATAACCTTTGGCTAGATGGGCCATTTAACTTGAGTAGAGACTTGATATAAACAACAAAAGCTAACAAGTAAATACATGTCAGTCATTTTGTAGGAAACATAAGAGAAAAAAAAAGAGAACTTACAAGCAAGGAATGTAACTCCAGACCTGCAGATTTTGCACTTAAGTAGAAACATCTTGCTTTGTTGTGATCTCTTCAAAATTTATGGGAATCAATTTTCAAATTTTTGGGATAAAATCATAATGCAGAAAAAATTAAAGTGGAAATGCCCCTGTGCTTAATCTGAGCATTTTTGAGTTGGTAGTTTTCCCAGATTTAATGGAAATCCAGATTTAAGCAACTTTGTCGTGATGTTAAAACCTGACCTAATTGAGCTACTTAATGGAAAGGCTGTCTCATGTCTAATAAAACAAGGATCTCAAGGATTTTGTCAAAGTGAATGAAAACAGGCAGCTTACTATTTTGATGTGTCTTATGTGTACCAAGAAGGAGCCAAAATGTTTTGCCATATCCCAAAATAAGCAACCAAAGAGCAAGATTTTCAGTCAAAAAAAACATTCTTATCTTTTTAACATTATTAAAAAGAACTCCAGCATAACTTCAAAATGTTTTTGTGAAGATCATCAATTGATCAGAAATTTATTTATTTATAAACATTAAATGATACAGACCTGGTGATTAATCTTGGATTTCTCCACCAAAGAATAGAGCACATTGAGTACACTGTGAACATTCCAAATCTGAAAGACAAAATACTCTTGGAAGATCAGGATAAATTCTGACCATGTAGATAAATGGTAGCACTGCATAATCACAGCATTTGTCATCATCATTGTACTACATTCTCCATAGCAGAAAAAATCAGTGGTGGCTGTAACCTGTAACCAACTACCTTTGTATTTGCTCTTAGAGTGCCAACTTCGTCTTCTCCCTTTTTCAACAACTTTGATCGGTACTGGCTAAATGCTTGGAACTGAAAATTTTGAATAATAAATTTTGAATAATTAATTAAATATCTTATGACTTTGTGTGCACAAATTAACCATTGATTAATTATACATTCAACAAGTACAATCAAACCTATTAATTCAGCAGGCCATATTTCTCTGTACAGCCAATCAAATTCAAAAGTTTGCCTGAATTGAAATCTTCCCCCTATATTTCAACCTTGAGATATAGTAAATATCTTAGTAGCTTCCTTTTCGTGATCCATACTGTAAGTTACAGAACCTTGTTTTTTTTTGTTTTTGTTTTTATTATTTCAGATCAGATTTATGACCTGTGCTTTGTACTTGGGCCATAAATCCAAGGGGGAAAAAACTTTGTATGCAACTCACAGCATGGACCTCAAACTGAGTTAGTATGAGGTATTTCCTGTCCTTGTGAAAGCTTTTTACCTGATAGATAAACTCATCAATGATATCCCACAACCACTGATTTGGCAAGGTGAGAGGAACTGGTTCATCTGTGTCTGAAAGATATTACACACTTGAGAAGTGTTTCTATTTTCATGTTAAAAAATAGTTGTACTATTTTTTTTTACTAAAAAATTGAAATTTAGACAGCACCAAAAATGAAATGCTAAACTTACTCAAAATGTAGTTGAAAAGGTCACAGTAGTTGAAATAAGATTCAAAGCGATGCTCCAGTGTTGGCTAAATATAAACAAAGACCAAAGATACTGTTTAGAAAAATATTTCAGAATAATGCTGTGAACTCTTAACATTTCTATATAGTAACTAAGGTTTGAATATTAACAGTGGTAATCTAAGCAAGAGGAGTCTTAAAATGGAGTTTTGTGGGAGAAAAAATTCGTTTTCATGGTTAGGTACTTTCAATCCAATGATAACAGTTCACAATCAACTGTTATTCTTATGATCCAGGTTCAAATTATTAATTAAATATTCCCTTACATCTTTTGACATTGAATCAAATCAGTTTCACGGTCAAATAATTTTTAAAGGAATCTTCAAATCACTCATTAACAAATCACTAATTTATCTGCTTAATCAAAAGTATTTCAACTGTTTTAATAGCATCACATGTACCTTGAGCTTGTTGTAGATGTGTCTGTAGTACAGCTCTTTGTAAAGGATCAAAAATACCTGGTCTGTAAAAAAGTAAAACATCATTATTTAATTTCTAAACCACTTCAAACAGGTTGTAGATACTTAACAAAGAGGAGGTGTTGGCAATGGCTAACACCTTCATATTGTGAGCAAATTCACCGACTCACTTAAGGAGACAACTACGGCAACACTGCCAAAGGTCAATACTGTGCTTCAAAAAAGGTAAATGTGCCTAAGTGTATAAAGTAGAGGAACCAAGGATTGACTCACTTTGTCCTTCATACATAGACAATTAGTATGAGTGCAGACCAGTACATCAGCTAATAGCCTGGCACATGTAACTGACACAATCCATGGTTCAGTCAGTTTGTAAGACATTTGGGTCAGTCATCTGGTTAGTGGGTCATTCAAGCAACCAGTCAGTCATTTAATAGAATAGGCAGAAAGACATGCAATACGTCAGTCAATCAAAATGCTTTTCTTATTCTTTAAAACACACCTCCATCCACAAGGCTTGCAACATACTCGGGTTCTGGCCAAGCAGATTTTTCAAAATATCTCTCTGTTAATTTGTTGAAACTGATCCAAAAAGACAAAAGATATGTTTAGAAAACTCAAAGACTTCTTGTCATAAAAACTAAAGTCTTAGGTACAAGACTGACTCTCATGGATGTATATACTACACAATAATGTACTTACTTTGTTTCATAGATAAACTGTATGTCATAGAGATTCTGGAAAATATGATAATATGATAATTTAAACACTTTTGTTTCCAAAGGTATCCAAAAAAGAAACTTCTCAGGATATCAATACTATAGTGATTTTAAATAACAATGTGATAAGATAATCAAAGAAGGATGTTGACAAGAGACTGTTTCTGGTTTTCACTATAACATCATCATAAAAACCCTTCAACAAATTAAGTCAAGAATCAAAGAGATAAAAGAAGATGAATATTCAAACAGCCTTGCAAAGACTTAGGTCTGTGTGATGTGTCATGCAGGAGATATATGAAGAAGTGTTTTAATCAAATTTATCTCGCTTTTAACAGAGAAGCCATGTTTGTGTCTCTCTGAGGGTCTGGGTTTAACCCTTTCTCTCCTAAGATCTCATTAGAAATTCTCCTTGCTGTTGGTCTTACAATTCTTATGATGTTACATAAGAGAATTTGGTATTCATTCACCTAATAATTCCCTAATTGATATTTTTCTTTTTTCCCATCACTTGTCTCCTTGATATTTTACATATATTAATCTTGTAAACATAAATTATTGGTCATTAACAGGAATTAAACAAGTGAGTGATTCCAGTGAAGTGGATCTATCTGTACATTGCATGGTTTTTTTAACCAAACATGCAATCAATCACACCAGGATATACTGGTAATAATATCTAGTCAACACATGCTAACCTGCTCAGTAACATGCTGGTGGAAGAAGTGAATAAATCTTCGTATTTCCTCTGGCACAGGAGAATATGACTGGGGATCTACACCTGACTCATGAAAAATAAAAATATTATACAAAATTTGATACAATTTTAATGTCTGGGTTTACTTCTTATTTTTCTCTTGTTTCTAGTAAACACAAGATATGGTGATAAATATATAAGTCTGAATCAAGATGGAACAAAATAGCTATGGACATTCAACTTGTGTTTATGGAACAATGGCTATTTTTAATAACATGTAAAGTATATCAATGAGATGTTAAGCAGTTTGGTTGCTCATCAGTCTGCTTGATCCAAACAAAAAATCAAAATAACTAGCAAGCCACCAAGCAACCTTATCAAATACAACTTGAAAATTGGACCTGTGTTATGTAGTTAACACATGCCTTTAAATGCTACTTACACCAAAAAAATGAAACCTTAGCGAAGCACATTTTTCACCCTCCATAAATAATAGTCTCTCAGGGAACATTTACTCACGGCCCCATACCACATTATACAATCAATTACAAAGCTGTCATCCCAGAGGTAATCTATTGTTCTTATCATTGTTTTTTCTATCCAAGATCTTGGATAGAAAAAGAAAATTAAAAAAAAAAAAACAATAATTTGCCTTAGGGACAACAGCTTTGTTTTAACAATGGTATGAGGCTGTGCGGAATTCTTACCCTTTCACAAGCCAGTTAAAACATATTTAGAAACACGATCAATGAAGCAAAAAATTTTCTTCTAGGCAATTTTAAAATCACTTTTGACTACACGCACAGCGTGAAAAAGTGTTCCAAATCTATGCTATGCAAAGCTCTGTAGGTCTCTCACCTCCTTTATCATGTATAGGAGGCTCATACCCTCCTCCTCCTCCATGATATGCTCCATCTGGTGCGCCACCCTAGAATAACCAGATGAACAACAAATCAAAATTTTGGGAAAATCAACACAGCGATAACGTGATCTGCCGCTTCTTCGTACTGCTTGTTAGATTTATAAAACAAAACGAATCCGAAGTTATACAGCTGAATAACTTGTTAAAGGAAACAATTACTTCTTACCTCTCCTTCATATAATCCTTCAGATTCATACATCGTTGATTCAGTCTTCAAAATTTACCAATGAGGAGGAAATAATCCCAAAAATTTCCACCTCGTGTCCTTTTTATCTGATTTAGTAACCTGGCCAAAAAGACTATCTTTCGATTTGTGTAAGTGACACGAAGCGTAACATTGTTTTTTCAAAGATTTTTCAAGCGCATGCCAAACAGAATTAAAAACTTTTTTTTCGTTGATAATCAGGAGGTCATCTTTTTTGTATTACCACTAATTCTATTGCTCTCAAAATATGACTGGTAGAAGGACCGACCCTAGCGAGAGAAATTAGCGCTAAGGACCCCTAGTAAATCTTAGCAAGACTTCAGCTTAAAATCCCAAGATCTCATGAGTAATTCTCCATACGTGCGCCACACAGTTCTTATAAGGTTAGTGCAGAGAATTTGTTATTGGATCTACTAAAAGTGCCCTTGCTGATATTTTTCTTTATTCTCGTCACTTTTTTGCCCGATACAGTACCGATATTAAAGGGAGAAAATCTGTTTTGGACACTCACGGCAGTTGCATAAACGCTTGCTTTACTTTACAGTTACGACGACTTAAGCATCAAGTATCACTCACAAAACATCTCGTGTATTTTTACAAAGTTAAAGAGCCGCCATACGCGACTTTGTTTGTTCTGTTGATAACAGGAAGTCAGACTGACATCATCACCGTGAACTGTCAATACTTGTTCCTCGACACTCCTCTACCATTTCTCAACTTCAATACACATAATCACTTATGCAAAATTCTAGAATGCCAAAATGAAATTTTACTTAAACGCAATCGATGCAATTACAACTATATTGAAAACTACAAGTTGGAGAAAACATCTTCCACGGAACCGGAAGCTTGCTTTTTCATCAAAAAATAGCGTGATTAGTGGCGTGATCGTTAATTGACTTCCGGTAAAGCAAACAAATGAGCGAAAAAACTACTCGAACATTTAGATCAGTGTCAGACAACTCCCTTTCCTTGGATTGTGAAATTAGCGAGTAGTGATGATCCTCTTTATTAAATCAATTATGGTGGTTCTTGAAGGGTATATTGTGACGTCACAGGCGGCACCTAATGCAGTTCTGCACAATATACCAGCGAGGTGGTCCAGCACATCACTGTTCGACAAAACAAAAGTGGAACTCGGACAGAATTGCACTTTCTGGAAGAACAAAACCGTTGCTAGATACTTTACTCTAGTGACACATCAATACCAATCTCTCTGTTATTTCCTCTATCTTAGAGAACTGCTTTCAGGGCTGGAAAGATGAACTTTGCGCTGTTCATTTTGTGTATACTTCCATCTCTGCTGTTGTCCTTTGTCGCTGAATCAAGCGGTGGAGTTGCAAACCTTTGCAAGGAAGGAAAATTTTTTGATTCAACGAAGCAAAAGTACGAGTCATGCGTCGAGTGCAAATCCGAAAGGCAGGAGTGCTATCCGTGTTGTCAAACCGAGGTCCATGGTAAGAATTTGAAAATCAATGCATAGTTTTTGTACATGTTATGTCAAATTAAATTTAAAATTTAGTTCTGTGAATCTGCCGGTATCAGCAGCGTTTAAAACAGACAAGATAGCTGTTCTCGTAACGATTCAACCACCGATTTCATGGGGAAAGAATGGTTTGAAAAATGAAATTATAGAAATTAGAAAGTCACTCATGAAAGCTCGTTTGAGAAAAATATTAACTGTCATTAATTAAACCGAAGTAAATGGATTATAGATCTTCCTTCCTAAAGAGGGGAACATTTAATACACACGAAATTATTGAGTTACATATCGATTCCTCTTCGAAAAAACTCCGTATGCTTGTGGCTTTAAATTTATCGCCTTGTTTCTAGCAGATTTCGTGATTTTATGCATAATTAAACTGACTAAATCAAACTCATTTGCATACCCCTGCCCTGTCCAACGGTGGAGTCTCTCTCACCGCCCGATTGGTTTTTCACTCTGATCTCCCGAACACAATCAGCTTTTCAATTCAGATATGAAAGAATATAATCTTCTTCTATGGATCGAAAAAAGAGAACAATGCAGACTTACAGATTAGAAAAATGAAGCAAACTGTTCAATCCAATTTTATGTAATGAAAATATCGGCAGGTACTGTAAAAACATGCAAACAAAAACAACGCTTTGGGGGCGTCTTGGAAAATCTAGATGCCCGTAAAATGATTCCTCTTTTTTTCCGAATTTGTTAAAAAAATCTATTCTTAAATGAAGAAAACTGACAATCTGCGAAGGGATTGACTTCGATGGAATACTTCACGAGAAGCATTTTTCGCGTCATGATAATTATTTTCTCACTGTCAACAAACAATGGCGGATTACCGACATTTCTGACGCAGTATTTGGTCGATCCAGAGAGCTGAGCACGCACTAAGTTTATACGTCCTCGAAAATTGTTTTTGAAACCTTTTCAGCTTCATTTCAACAGATAATTTCGTAGAGAGGCAGTTTTTCTTCATTAATTTGGTCAAATGCCGAGCGCCTCGTGCACGTAGAACTGTAAGAGTAATCAACCGGATGAGCGTTAATACTTCCGCTCGCGAGAAAACGGAAAAAGGATATACCCAAAAGAGAGAGTGGAAGGGATATGATGCAAATCCGACTTTTTTCTGTTCCTTCCACCCTCCTTCCCTCTCTAGCTTTCTCTTTTTTTAAGGCGAAGAGGACTCTAAGATTCACTTGAATTGAACAGTATATCAAAGCAAATTTCCTTGCTTGTTATACGCTTTCGCGATCTCAGCGCTATTTGCCCTAGTGTCGAAATCCAGCACCGACCAAGTAACTAAATATAATCATGTGATATTCATACAGTCACCAAACTACCCTTTGTGCGGTGAACATTGTCCCTTATCGATCGATTTTTCAAGGTTGTTCATTCTTTAAATCTTACTGAGGTCTCAAGGGCTCTTGAACTATGAACGAGGAAACACGCCCCTGTCCCGTGATAATCCATCCTCGAGAAACCAAGGGGCTGTGAGTCGATTTCAAGTTAGAACGGAAGAGCCTAGTTCCAAACGCTCGCAGTCGTTCTGGCATCTTATTGGTGCCAGAAAATCTTTGCGTTTTTCTGCCCAGTCAGAGTGAAGTATGCTTCAGAGTCCTTTCATGTGTTTTAACACGGAGATTTACAAGAAGCTCAGTTGCCCACCAAGTTTGTTTGGGCCGTGCGACGAAGCTTTGCCCGAGTTGAAAAGTTTCAGTCTCAGCACACAATGTAGAAGAACTCGATCAGATTGTCCACGAAAATATTACCGGAAATCATACTGAATACTTTAACAGGTATCACAAGAGAACGTGTATAAAAGTTTGCGAGGTTCGCATAAAACCATAGTTAGTGGATAAAAACTAATGGTTGCAGGCGTTAATACGTCGCTTTAAACGAAATCGACTCACAGCCCCTGGGTCTCCGAGGATGGTGATAATCATGTAATATCCAGTTTTGATTTTCTATCTAAATTTAGGAATTCCCTTCCTTTTTCTCAGTTTCTAAGACTTCGTCGTTATGTAGTGATGACTCTGATTTCCACCACAAATCAGAGTCAATGTGCCAGTTTTTCGATAAACGTGGTTACCCTGATTCTGTCGTTCAAACGGGTTACCACCGCGCCCAACTTATTGATCGACATTCAGCACTACAAACGTCACAAAAGGAAGATTCCGACCGCATTCCATTCACTCTCACGTTTCACCCTCAC